ATTCCATTTCCCTTTGGAATCAGCTACAGTGACTGACTGGCTTTGAGCAGGGAGGGAAGGTGAAGGGACTCTGCCAGCTCTAGAGGATTCGTATGTCACAGGCTGGCAGGTGCAGCTGGGTGAAGCTGTGTTCTAATACTGAGCAGTGGGGACAATCATGAAAGCAGGTTTCATTCATTGAGTCCCTTCTTCCTTCCCCTTGACCTGCTCCCTGTAGGAGATCATCCTGTCAAGAGCTCTTGTTGCCAGCCTTGCAGGGATGCATCCCCTGTGAGACTTTTCCTTTCTATGACTGGGGTGACTGGCAGTTTGAAGGGGACCTTAAACCTCCTTGTAGTGTCTGGAACTTGGTACCATATCAGTGCAAACCGTGCTTAGCTCATCTCAGAGATCCAAGAGTAAGCACCCTGCTGTCCCCAGGGTGGCTGGGCAGGGATGGCATGGGGCCAATACCCAGACTCCTTCAGCTACCAGCCCCTGGCCTGTGCCTTCTTCAGCCCACTAGCCATTTCTTGCTGTGTCTTTTTTAGGAAACACAACCTACAGTGGCAGCAAGAGGTGGTGATTAGAGGCAGATATTGGCCACAGAAATGGTTTCCATGTAGCCATTGTCTGAGTCTAATTTTCACTGATGCTATTTTGTGGATTTTTGTGGTGGTTGTGATAGATGCTGCCAGTTTCTCCAAAAGTGATCAAGCCCCTGGTCACATGGCTGTCCACGTAGACATTCTTCAGTGGTGTTGAGCCAAGTGGCCTGTGGAAGATTGGGCTGTGGAACCGTCAGCAGCCCACACCCAGCTTCCACATTAAATTGCTCTAGGAAAAAGTCCTGGGTAGACAGCATAATGTGTGGCGGGGGGATTTCTTGCTGCTTTCACCTCTTGGCCTCTTGTAGGGAGCCTTAGCCAGGAGCTAGACTTAGCGTCAGTGCACAAACTGAAGCCATTCTGTAGGACAACAGAGGTTTGCTTCAAGCCATGGGTTTTTGTGTGGTTTGCCAGAACCTAATTCTGCAACGTCTCCAAAACTGGAGGAAATTGTTTGCTGGGGATGGGAGCTGTACCACCGTGGGAGTGCTGTCTGCTCTCTGCAGACTACTGCTGCAGTTCCACTGTGGTGGATTTTTATCAGGTTTCTAGGGGCTCCCTTCTTCCCACTATCCTGTGCTGCAAACTGCAGGCACCAGCGAAAGTGGCTGACCTTTGACTCCTTGACTCCAAGATACCCAGACCAAAGAAGCTGCCATTCTTGGTGTGAAGCATACTGAATCTCACAGACAGGAGGAGTCGGAGAGGTGGAGGCTTGCCTTCCAGCCTTGCAGACAGTAGACACAGTGCCCCAAGTGCCAGAGCATTTAACCTGGATCAGACCCCTCAGATGTCAAAGAACAAAGTATTCAGGTCTTTCCTACCTAGAGGAGACTTAGAATGTTGGAAAGATGCCCTGTCTTAATCTTGATCAGTTCTGAGCCAAGTCCCAGCTCAAGTTGCCCCTAAGATTTGAGTGAGCTTTGCTTTGGTTGACCTGGTCATGGAATGGGAATATTGAGTCCCCAGTGGCTGCTCTGGAAGAAACAGATCTCTTGGCAAAGACTCCAGCTTCTCCCTCCCCAAAACCAGGTCACTTGCTCCTGGGACTCGGCTGTTTTCCCCTGGTGGGGACCCGTCCAAGTCTGCAGGAGACAGCTCAGGGCTACTGTTGAGTTTCATTTCTGTCTAAACTGACCCTGGGTTCTTCACTCAACCCCTTCTGGAATTTGAGGCCAGGGAGCATCATCATCAGAGGAGAGGTTCAGGACCTCCTATAGGAGCCTTGGTGGCACCATGACTGACTTGAACCAAACAAGGGAAGGACAGCGCCTCCAAGCTGACCTGCTCAGGCAGCCATGTTGGAAAACCTCTCTGGGCCTGGCCACCACCTTCTGCCACCTAGTCCTCCTGGCTGCCATATTCTGAAGATGACCTTTACCTCCTGTCTCTGGATTGACTCTATTTGACCTTGGACTCCGTCTCTGTAGGGAGAGAGCCGGATAGAAAGGAGGCCTTAACTCTGGATTGGGGCCTACATAAGGCTCATTTTCCCCACACGTGCCTATTTCTGAAGATGCTGATGTCTGAAGGCTGGCCCACACCAAGCTACTCCAACACCCTTTTTTAATGGAAAATTTCAGGCCTTGCCTACAACTAACTGCCATTGCCTACAACTTACTGGGTCTCTGAAGAACAAAGGCAGATATCTCATGGTCTAGAATTCTTTCCCCAAAGATGACGAGCATTTAACTAACCTGAGGCCTTGGACAGTTTCATAGAACTGTGATCTAGGACTGTCAGGTCAGGGAAGGAGGCAGGAGTGTCTGTTGGAGGCAACCTTCTTGAGGCCTGGCCTCCCTGCCCCAGAATCAGAGAGACCCAAGGCCTCACTTTTGCCTAGCAGTAAAGCAAAGGCAGACCTACAAATAGACTGTACCAGGGTGAGGCTATTTAGGACAGTTTCATTTAATTAAACTCAAAAACATTGACTGGCTGGCAGGCAGGGCTGCATCTGGGAACAGAGAGGGCAAGCTTCACCTTTTTGTCTTGGCTTTTCTTGGGCTGTAGGGGGCATCCATTTCCAGGGTGGGGAAGAAATACCAAATGCATTGTTGTTCTGCTCAGTACATCTCACTTGTTTCTAATAAAAGAAGCAGCTGAATAAATCGATCTGCCCTCCTGGTATTCCTCTGGTCAGCAGGTGGCAGTAAAACAGATGAATCATGGGGCTGGGCTAGAGCAAGGGTGATAATAAAGACTCCCAGGAACCATGATACTAGGCCAGGTTTGGAAGACCTTCTTCCAGCACATACTTGGCTCTTCTCACCACTAGAGAGGAACCAGGACAGAGCCAGGTTCTCCAGAGGAGTAACGGCATAAGAGCATCAAGCAGCTTGGTAGAGTCAGTCAGAGTGGCTTCTCACAGGAGGATACAGGCACTACACCCTGCCAGAATGTCAGGATACCACATCCCCTCATGGGACACAAACTGAGTGGCTCTATTGAGCTATGAGGGGCATGCCTCCCCAACTCTGGTGTTGCTAGGGATGAAACCCAGGGCCTTACTCATGCTGGATAGGAGCTCTACCACTGAGCCCACCAGGGATGCTTTTTAAATGTGACATTGCTAGGATCCAAGAACTGCATTTAGAATTCCCCATCCCATCCCCCAGTTCTTGTCCTTTGGAGCTTTTCCATTCCCTCATCCCATGATCTTCTCCAGCTCCCCATGGCTGTTATCTCCAAGTTCTTTCTAGGGAACTGAGAAGACATAAGAGCTGCCTAATCCTCATTCCTATGCCCTTACCTTGTATCCCAGGCCTTGCCCATGACCAGGTCACTCTGTTTCTCCAATCTCATCCCTTATTCCTGCCCTGAGCTTTGGCTAGAAGAATACAGCCCTATGGGTGGTCTTCAGGGACTTCCAAGAATAAAGTTGATTTCAGCCAGGCACGGTGGTGCATGCCTATAATCCCAGTGGCTCAGGAGGATCACGAGTTCAAAGCCAGCCTCAGCAATGGCAACACATTTAGCAACTCAGTGAGACCCTGTCTCTAAATAAGATACAAAATAGGGTGGGGATTTTGCCCAGTGGTTGAATACCCCTGCCCCCCCCCCAAAAAAGAATAAAGCTGATTTCTTCTTTGCTTCCACCATTCATATTTGTTCAGTTCCTGTCACCTTCCTAGCCTTAGGGATTGGCCCTTTCAATGTGGTTTCCCAGCTCTGGGCTCTTGTCCTAGCTGTCAACCCTTCCTTTTGCAACACCAAACCAGAGACAAGAAGCAGGATGGGGGCTCAGCCCTGGGCCTGTGCATGCCAGGCCCTGAACAGAAGTGTCCCCCCTGTAGACCAAACTGGATTTGGTCTCAGATTTGGCGCCCTGGGTTGTAAGTTGGCCATCTGGTCTTCCTGACAGCTGTGTGCACCAGTCCCTGGCCCATCCATTCTGGGCACCTTCAGATTCTGGTCATCCTCTTTCAGATACTCCAATTTATCAGAACCGAACTCCTCTCCTATTAAGAACCAGGAGCAGGCTGGTCATGGTGGCATACACCTGTAATCCCAGTGACTTGGAAGCTAAGGCAGGAGGATCACAAGTTCGAGGCCAGCCCCAGCAGTTAGGGAGGACCTAAGCAACTTAGTGAAATCCTGTCTCAAAATGAAAAATAAAAAGGGCTGGGGATGTGGCCCAGGGTAAAGTATCGGGGGCACTCCTGGGGTTGAAGGGAGGTAGAGACTGGCCTAGCCTTGGGTTTTGGTTCCTATAGGCCTTGGGGCCAATTCAAGGCCTAGCCCAGCCCACCCTGTGGAAACCACCTTCCTGACTGCCCTTGTCCGGTACTGGTGATGTTGCCTGGTGGAAACTAAAATACCACAGCTCCACAGTCCCATAAACTTCTTCTTTTGACAGGCGTGAGCCCCAGGTTTTATCTGGATCCTGTCCTCCGGTATATTGCTTCCTCTCCCAGCATTGTTACAGAGGTGGCCTAGAGCGCTGCCACTTTCCACACTTTCATTTGTGAGGCCGTTTGCCTGTTCTTGGGGTGTGCTCAACTGAGCAGATGGGTCCTGAACCCAGCTGAGCCTGGAAAGTGGGGTTCCCTCAGAGTACTGCCCTGTGCCCCATTTAAGGCCACTGGTATGTGGTAGGGGAGTGGGGTGACCTTGTGAATTAGTGTCTTCAGACAGATTTGTGATACTCGAAGCAGCTTTTAAGTCAAGCGCAGCGGTCAGAGCTATTTTGAGCCATGGCATCTCCCACAGCCACTCCAGGCTATCTTAGACAATCCAAGCCCTGCTGGGGCTCTCGCTGCAGCCGTCCCTCGGGGCCAGTGTTGTGGTTCAGAGGTGCTGTGGCATGGGGGTGGTAAGGGAAACTTGCTTCTTTATTTTTCAAAACAGACACTCTCCCTGCCCTCTCCAAGGCTTTTTTGTTTGTTTTTTAATAGTTTTTCAGTGGTCCTGAGGATTAAACCCAGGGCCTTGCACATGCTAGGCGAGCGCTCTCCACTGAGCTACAGCCCCAGCCCCTCTCCAGGGCTCTTCTGTGACAAGTTACAAACCTACTGCCAGGTGTCCCCAGGGCTCCACCTCAACACTCCCTTCTTGCTCCAGGAAGTGAAGCCAAGGGAGGAGAAGCTCAGGTTGGAGAGCAGGAGGAGGCAGCCAGGAAAGCCTGGGGGCCGGAGGGCTTTAGGGTAGGCTAATGCCTGGGGTGGGGGATAGGGGGACAGCTCTGTGGGGCAGATGGCCCTGCCAGAGGTCAGAAGAGCTGAGGGCTTAAAGGTGTCCTGCTTCCCAAGTCTCCTGACAGCTACAGGCCTGCCTTCTTATAAGTCATGATGAGGATGTGGGCTGAGGACCAGAGGAGCTGGAGCCATCTCAAGACCCCAGGGTTGGAGCCCACTGATGTCAAGTGAGCGTCTTAAGGGCACAGATCCCCTGCTAGTGGCCCAGGAGGGGCCGGGTAGCCATCAGACTCAGTGAAGTCAGCAGCTGCTGAGCCGGCCAGGTGGGAGCGCTGGAGGGACTGTTGCTCCCACTAGTCCTCGCTCCGGGGGAAGAGAGGGCTCTGTGCAGACTGGTACCCGCAGAACCCTGGAGTGGTCCTTTAGTCCTTCAGGAGCGCTGGATGTGGATGTGGACAAAAAGCGTGGCAGGGGACAGTGATGCCCCATCCTTGGAAAGCAGGTGGATGTGGCGGTACCCTGTAGGGACAGCAGCCAGGTATCAGATCCTTGGACCCAACTCCTGCCTGGTTCAGGGAGGGCCACATGGGGAAGTCAAGGGTCAAAGGTGAACAGGGCTTGAGGCTGGGACTCCATCCAGTTCCATCCCTACCAGCTTCCACCAACCTTGCTTCAGGCTGTTGAGAGGCAGTGTAAACTGGCCCACAAAGTCATTGGGGGAGGTGGTATCATAATCTTCTACCACAAACCGCACCAGCACCAGCTCTGGGGCCCGCAGCTGGAACTGCAGGGTCTGGCCCCAGTGGGGATTGAAACCTAGGGCACAGGTGTAGTTATCAGGGCCCAGTTGGCCCTAGGGCCTGCCCTGTGCCTCCCTCCTCTGCTGTTTGTGTCTGTCCCCCACTCCCACCCATGGGCCCACCTGCCCACCATTATTGAGCACATAGCTGGTCTCCTTCCGAGCACAGTCTGCGAGCACCCCATGGATCTCCACACGCACCAGGGGGTCCACAATGGAGCTGGGCTTCTCAGCATTCAGCTTGGGCAGCTGCTGGGCAGTTAGTACCTGGGGAAGGGAGGCAGGGAGCTTTGACCGGGCCCCTAACAGGGCCATGCCCACTCCTGCTCCCCTGCCAGGACAGGAAGCCTCTGGCCCTATCTGCATGCGAGCCAACCGTGCCTGTGTGGACACAGACACTCAGGCTACTCTCACACCAGGCCGGCCCTGGCCTCCTGTGTCTTCCTCTACTTCCGACTGGTGCCTCTCCAGAATGAGCCCTGACCCCAGGCTGGATTTTGGTCCATGCTGCTGACCTGGACTGTTAGAGTAGTTCTGGGAGGTCCAGGGCATTCGGGGTCAAAGGTTGTGTCAGGTTGCCGTAGACAGGCAGGTTTCAGGACATAGCCACACCGCCCATTGATGAGGAAGCGCCCTTCATTGAGGTCCATCTCATAACCTGGTGTCTGGAAGTTCAGGGCCACTGTGGACAAACAGGATTAAGCAAGGGCTTTTAGTGGCCCTCTCCTCACTGCCCAGTTTCAGGTGACTTGGCTAGAAAGGACACAGCTCTTTGCACAGAGGCCCAGCATCCTACTGTCTGGTCAGAGATAATCTGCCCCCATCATGACTTGCAGGAAGGGGATCATAGCAGCCAGGGGACCCAACCCTACTGTCACCTATACCTTCTCCCTGCTATCTCTCAAGTCTGGATGGTGGGGCTGGGCTGAGATGCTAGAAAGGTCCCCACTCTCAGGGCTAGGCCTGGGTCAGAATCAGGGCCTGAGAAGTCCTGGGGTTTCCATAACTAGCCCCAAAGGGACCATGCTACCCTCCTTTGGCAGGACTCGGTGTCCTCCAGAGCCCAACCCTGTCAGTCTTGACTTAGTAGGGCTGCCAGGTGTGTGTGCCCACACTTTTAAATTTCTAAAATTATAGAAACAGCTTTTAAAATAATTGTTGTTAACAGGATGCATATTTCTATCTTCTGGAAGGCTATGTGGCCCCCTCCCGTGGCTGCCCAGAGGCTACACCTACCTAATGGCATCTGACTGCCCCACTCCTGTGGCCCCCGTGGCCCCTACTCACCCAGCTGACAGCCTGAGTTCCACATCTCCTGGGGGTTGTAGTTGGCCGAGTTCATCCGCAGACCCAATGGATACACACGGGTCAGCTGGCGAGCATTGTGTCTGACAAAGCTGTTCCCTAGGGCAGAGTTTGGGCCAAGACTGTGACAGACTCTGGGGGTGTCCTTGCCCAGTGCCTGTAGCCTCCTGGAAACAGAGGCTGAACTCCCCCAATCCCAGCTTCCCACTCCCCTCTGACCTAGAGTGAGAGGGAACTCAGGAGGCTGCTGAAAGCCAAACAGGCAGGGACACAGCCTGGTACTACAGCCCCAACCCATAATTCCCACATTCCTGACTCCCTCGTGGAACACCTGGCCCCAGGCTGATCCCCTGCCACTCATCACTCATCCTGCCCACATCCTCCAGCCACACTCTGGGTTCCTGGAACCTTCCATAGGTCATGCCTCTGGGCCTATGTACAACCTGTTCCTCCTGTCTGGAAATTCCTTCCCCTCTTCCCCAGGCTGCTTCCTCCTCGCCCTTCAGGTGAGGTATCTTCTCAAGCTTCACCTGCTCCCAAAAGACTTCTCTGATCTCACCCACTCGGGTCGGACTTCCCCAGCCCCCGTGATGGCCTGACTGATTACCCATCTATGTTTAGCTTACTACCGGGCTGTGAGCTCTGTGAAGGCAGACACAGGCCCTCTCCCGCTCGTGGCTCTCTCCTCCATCCACACCTGGCTCCATGCTGGGCCCTCATTCCCTGAATAGAGCCCCTCTCTGGGGTCCAGATCTCTTATGGCCCCCACAGTCTTCTCAATCTCTTCAGACCAATTTCAGGATACCCCCTGACCCTCCAGAGCCTGCAGGGTCCTACCACCCTCCTGCCGGGAGACACCGAATCTCCAGCTCCTACCTGCCTCCCTGATGAACTTCTTGGCCTTGCGCTCACTGAGGGAGCTGACCTGGTAGGGCTGGGGTGGTCCAGGGCCAGGGTTCAGGGTCCGCAGGCGGGTGGCCCAGCAGTACACAGCCAGGGCTGACAGCTCTGGGGAGATCTGCTTGGCCTGGGAGACCAGCTGTAGTGGGGGCCCCTGGCTGGAGCCCCCTAGTGCCACCTCCCCATCCCAACCTCAGCCCCTGCCAGTCCACTGGTCCACCCAGGATGGCTCACCTTCCGTCTCTGCTCTGCAACCTCTGCGGCTTCTTCCCCCTCCTCTTCCTCCTCTTCCTCCTCCTCCCTGTCTGATAAAATTCTGCCATCCTCCATGTGTGCAGCTGGTAGCTTCTTCCCCTTCACCAGGACCCGGCCTTTCAGCTTCTATAGAGGACAATATGGACAGGTGAAGCCCTCCGGCCCCTCACAGCAGCTGGTGGTCAGCCATTCAGCCACCACTGAGACTGATAGGGTTGGGCACAGGAAGGAGACAGGTGAGCGATGTGGCTAATAGGAAAAAATAAGGAATAACCTATGAGGCCATCAACAGGTACAGCTAATAGGGTGCCTCCCTCCATCAGAATACCACGCAGCAGCAGATACAAACAGGACAGCTAAGGCCTGAAAGGGAAGGGATCCTCTTCTAAATGGATCTTTCAAGAAAGAAGTGAGCAGAACATGTAATGACATGAGCCTTTTTGTGTAACATTTAAAAGAGAAGTTATATACATAGGTGTGTATGCACGTGAATATTCTGGAAGGATTGTGGAATAGAATGGGGTGAGCCTGAGTAGAAGACGACCCATTTTTTCATTGTATACCCTTTGTATAGTTTGGTTTTTCTTTTACCCTATGTATGTTATTTTCATACTAATAACAAAATCAAATCTCACCCACACACAAAGGTGAGTCAACATTCCTACATATTTGGCACTGGGAGGAAGAAAAGAATCTGTCAGAAGCTGTAAAGGTTACACGTCCTAAGAGAGCAGATCAGATGCTCTGGGGCTTGGGGGAAGGGAGGAAGGCCTCTGGCCAGAGGGCTGAGGAGGCTCCTAAGGTCCAGGGAAGGGCGGGGGACGCTGGGCTGGAATTCTAAGCAGGTGGCGCTTGGTGAGTGCAGGTGGCTGGGACTCTGTGGGCAGAGACACAAAGCTGGGCAGGGCAGCACCCGGTGAGGAGGGCTCTGAGTAAGCTAAGGGGATGGGTTGTGTCTAATCCGACATGGAGAGCTAGAGCCCAGCACAGGGACAGATGAGTGGCAGGTATCAGGTGACCCGAGAAACAGGGAAAGGTTAAAGCAGAAGTGAGGGGTCCTGAACCAGAGAGGTGACATGAGCAGGGCTGGGTGGTGGACACCAGTCAGACCCTCCTCCCTCCCAGGCTGGGGGTTCTGGGAGCTTCACCTCTGGCGACGGCAGCTCCTCAGGATTCTGGGAGTCTAGCGCCTGCATCACCAGCATGTCTCCCAGGATGGTTCGAAGGTGGCGAGCCATGGCAGCCTGCTGCTCCAGCCCGCAGTGGTTCTCAAGGGACAGGATGACAGGGTATGGGGACAACTGGGGAGCAAGAAGAGCAGCTGCTTAGAGCCACTGATTCTCCCTCAGTCACTACCTTTCCTCTACATCTGGCCCCCAACTCCTTTAGGACAGGAAGGCAAAGGCAGAGCTCTGGAGAACCCGTGTAGAGAGATCAAATCCATGGGAAGTGGGACACATGGGGCCAGTATGTATCAGCAGACCAGTTAGATCTGTGCCTCGGGGAAGGGGTGGACAGTCTGGGACACTGAGGGCAACTGCAGGAATGGAGTTCTTTTATAAATGCTCTGTGCGTCCATGACATTTACTGTGTCAACTATATTACAATGTCCCACCATTATTTGATAGGACCGTATAACTTGATTTTTTTTTTTTTTTTTTTTTGGTGCTGAGGCTTGATCCCAGAGGTGCTCCACCCCTGAGCATGTCCCCAGCCCTGAGGTCTGTATATCTTGGAGTTGCAATACTATGTAGATGCTACTCTGAGATTCTCCTATGGCTTACTCTTTGGAAGTCATGATTAAAATTCTCTTTCCTACCCTCAAGGTTTTCTTTTTCTTTTTTGGTACCGGGGATTGAACCTAGGGGTGTTTAACCCCTGAGCCACATCCCCAACCCTTTTTAATTTTTTTTTTTTTGAGACAGAGTCTTACTAAGTTGCTGAAGCTGTCCTCAAACTGGCAATTCTCCTGTCTCAGCTACCCTAGTTGCTGGCCCCAAGGTTTCTTCTGGAAATTTCGTGATGTTAATACATGCGTTAACCGTGAAGGTAGGAGGAGGGAGCACTGAGTCCAGCTTTATTCTTTCCCACTGGCCAGTTTTCCCAGCAGCACTTGGTGAATAAGCGGCTCTCTAGACAGGGACTAAGGGTAGCTAGTGTATGAATGGGGTGAGGGTCACTGGGAAGGCTCTGGGGCTGGGTATGGGGTCCTAAGGGCTCACCACGAAGGCATGGTCACGCACGGCTTGGATCACGTCTCGGAAGAGGATCTTGGAAGTGAGTGTGTGGCCATGGTAGATGACAGGCTCCCCTCCTGGGCCTTCCCAACAGTCCAGTTCCACACAGCGGCATCCCTGGGCAAAGGCCCTGGACAGACACATGGATGGGCAAGGTGTTGTGTGGATGCCATAGAGCCAGGCAACAGTCAGGCTGAGCCAGGGAGGTACTTGGAAGCCCAGCATAGGGGTTGAGCCCCATATCCCTCCCTAAGCTGGGCTCCCAAATGTGTTGACCCCCCCCCAACATAGGCCTCCGTGCTGCAGTACCTAACATAGGCCTCCGTGCTGCTGGGCCCCCCAATCTGAGAGTCAGTCAGATAAGTATTGTGAGAAGAGGAGATGAAATAGTGGGCAAGAGGCTGGCCCATATCCTGGAACACACACGTGTGAGCCATGTCCAGGGCAGCCCCCTCGGGTGACAGCAGGTACATCATAAAGCCATCCAGTGTCATCAGCTCATGCTGCTTGGCTACAGAAAAGGGCAGGAAAGAGCATTAGGCCACAGGGGCTTCCGTGTCCAGACCCAAATACCCCTGTAATAACAACTAGAGCACCTACTGACTAGACTGCAGACACAAGCCATTTAGTCTTCCACCACACCCTGTGAGGCAGACACATTATAATGCCAGGATACAGATGTGCAGTCTGAGTCTGCGAGTCAAGGTGACCTGCCCGAGATGGCAGAGCCCCTTGGCTGGGAACCCAGAGCGGTCAGGGAGCGAGACTGGGCTGAGCTCCCCAAACCCACCTGTCTCATTGAGTTCATAGGTCTGGATGAGCTGCTGGGCACGGGCCAGGGTGGCGCCATCCTCACCCTGGTCCTCCAGGAACTCCAGTAGCTCAGGGGCACTCAGCACACGGTCCTCGCCTGAGTATCGACTGAAGATCTCCTCCAACTCCGGGCGCTTCAGCAGCCGCCGCAGGAACTCCTCAATTTCAGCTCCCTCCAGGCGCTCATTGTTGGAATGGTCACACTCCTGGAGAGCCAGGATGGGAGGATACTCAACAGAAGCCACATGGAAGGAGGACTTGACCCCACTGTCCCACCCCAAGACCCATCTCAGCTGGGAAGGCAATGATCCCCATTCCACAGGTGGAGAAACTAAGAGCAAGGCTCTGGTCACACAGCCAGGGAACTGCAGAGTAGCAGGGTCTTGGGTTCAGTGTCTCTCCCCAAGATGTGGGAGGAAAAATAATGATCCTGGGGCAGGGCTCAGCCCTGGTGCCACAGGGCCCCTCCAGGTGCACATACAACCATAACCATCACCACACTCACACACTCACACTTGGGGAGTGTGCAATAAGTGAAAATTCGCAGAGTAGTTCAGGTGCAGTGTTGGGCTATAGATAGGTGCCACAGGCTCTCTTATCTTCTAGAGTCACAGTTTGGTCACAGCCCCTACACAGGTGTCTGCTGTGTGCCCTGATCACTTCCACACATGGACAGCTACCCCAGTGTGCCCTGAGACAGTGTTCCCACACAGGCACGTGTGGAGGGGCCACACATGCCTCAGTGCAGGGTCCTACATGGAGGAGGGTGTGTGCGCCCAGGTGTCTGCAAACCAACTCCCGCCTGTGCTCCTGTGTCTAAGCCACGCATGGTTACAGGTACAAAGGCGCCCTGCAGGCTGAGACATGAAAGCAGCTTTGCTGCTCACTTCAGAGGGCTAGGGCAGTGCCACCCAACCCTGGGCTCTGCCTGAGGATGAGAAAAGTTCTGGTTCACCACTCCTAGTCCCATCCTGGCCCAGTGGCCAGGGGGAGGGGAAAGAGTAACTAGGCCCAGATGTTGCTTTTCTGCAGGGAGAGCAGACTCCCTCTAAAAAAGCCACAGCAGGGAGGGGTGCTGGGACCAGCAGAGTGGTGGCAGAGCCTGAGGGGCCAGGGTTCACCTTGAAGAGGCGGTAGGCATACATGTCATTCATGTCCACGTTGACCATCCTGAGGAGGCTCTTGATTTCCTTGAAGCTCATCTTACTATCCTGATTCGAGTCTGCCCGGTGCAGGTAGGAGTGGATCCAGGTGTGGGTGCTCAGGAAATACCAGCAACAGACTGGGTCCCCCCCCCCCCCAGTGGCAGGCAACTGACCCATAACTCACCACCGCCTGGGTCTGGGGGCTCTGGGGTACAGACTTCACTTTCTTTTTTTTTTTTTTTTTTCCCTCCCTCCCCGACCCAGACTTCACTTTCTAGCCAGCCTGTGGACTCCCTGATCTCTGTAGCAATGTCTTCTGCATGGGACTTGGGCTCCCCAAACCAGAAGGCGTCTCCACCTTTAAAAGGTCCTTCATCCTCCCTGAGGAGGGGCACTGCCTTCCTCCTTGGTGGCAACTCAGCCCAAGCCAGGCCATGGTGAGTGTCCCCACTCAGTTCCAAAGACTAGAGGCCCTATCTCAGACCTAAATAAAGGCAGGACCATGGCTTCCTTGGGGACTGGGGCTCCCTAAGGGACCGGTCCTCCCTTCCAGCACCAGCAGGATATTGGTCAAGCCGCTCGCGCTGGCTCATAGCATCGAGGCGCGCGCGCAGCTTGGCCAGGCCACGCACCCAGCGCTGGGCCTCCTCGGCGGTGGGTGCCGCCAGGTCCAGGTTCTTGCGGCGACCTTTGAAGGTGATGGTGAGGCAGCGCGCAGGTGCGAAGGCGCCCCCGTAGCGCCGCAGGCCCTCGGACTGGTGCCCCTCGCGGACAGCCTCGATGTGCTGCACGAAGACTGCGGGCAAGCGGGGTCAGGTGGTGCCCGAGACCGTCCCCGCCGCCCACCGGGTGCCACCCCCTGGCCTGCTCACAGATGTGCTGCGATGGCGCACGAGGGATGCGCCTCTGGAACCACACGCTCAGGCCGTCCTCCTGCAGCCGGTACAGCCGCTCCTTGTGCCACGTGCGTGAGCGGATCTTGCAGAGCCGGGAGCCCCGCAGCATGGCGCGCACGTCCTCGTCCTCCGTCAGGCCTGCGGGGAGGGACCTGGAACGTTGGACCCGGCCAGGCAGCGTCCCGGCCAGAAGCTCCCACCTGCCTCTCCCCAGCTGGTCCGCTCGGTCTTCCTTCCCTCTCTCTTGAGCCCTGTCAGTGAGCTTCCCTGACCCTCTTTTCATTCTAACAAGTCGCCATCACTGCACTTGGCTTTTGGCTTTGAGGCCCCAAACACCGCCCATCATCCTCCCTTCTGAGCAGGGGCCTCTGCAATCCCTGAGCACATAACAACCTTCAGGCAGTGCCTGGGACACTAAAGGTCACCCTTTTTGCTACTACTTTTTTTTTTTTTTTAATATATTTTTTTAGTTGTAGATGGACACAACACATTTACTTTTTTAAATTTATTTTGATACGGTGCTGAAGATTGAACCCAGTGCCTCACACATGCCAGGCAAGGACTCTACCACTGAGCCACAACCCCAGCCCCTTTGCTACCACTCTATCAAAGCCTTCAAGCCCAGAATCTGCCACCAGTAGCAAGTTCCTTGATGTGAAACTAGTGGCCATTAGGAAAATAGTCTATCTAATCTAAATCTCTCTTGCTACAACCCAAGCTTTTCACTTTTGCCTTCCCAAGACAAGGGAGGATAGCAGAGGCCATCTGTCACTAGAGACACAGACCAACAACCCCAGAACCATCCCTGCCTGGCTGATCTCCAGGTACCAGGGAACCACTGCACTACACTGTCCTGCTCTGCCCTCTTCTTCCTCTCACTGCCGCAGCCACCCTGGGCTGTGAGAGGTGGTAAAAGAGCAGAATTTAAATTCAGGGGTCTGGGGCAGGAGGTCCCAACTCTGTTACCTTCCGGTTACCCAGCCCTGGTGGCATTAACCTGTGACTGCTCTAAGCCTCGTGTTCTCCACTTATAAAATGGGAACCACAATAATACCTATTGTAAAATCCAAAATTTAGTAAAAAAAAAAAAAATCCAAAACTCAGGGCTCTACGCCCCTGAATACACTGCCTGGCCCTGTGGCGCCGGCTCTGAACCCTCTCAGCATAAGTCCGAAACCAAAGGGTTATGAGCCAGAGGACAATAGGACAAGTGGGAACCAAGCCACAGGAGAGTCCACACCCTGTGGAGGGAGGGGGACAGCCAGGAGGGATGAGGGCCCAGAGTTTCCAGAGAACGGGAATCTGGACCTGGATGTGAAGCCTCCACATTTTTTAATGTTGGCAACCAAATCAGATTGGAAAAACAAAAAACCAAAATCACTGTGAGCCAAACAAAACTCCACATGCCTCTCTGCCTCCCTTTTTTTTTTTTTTTTTTTTTTGTAAGAAAAAATAACCCAGGATTGAACCCAGGGCCCCTCACACATGCTAGGCAAGCACTCCACCACTTAGCCACGTACCCGGCTCTTCTTTTCAATTTTATTTTGAGACAGGATCTCGCTAAGTTGTTCAGTCTAGCCTCAAATTTGTGATTCTCCTGCTTCAGCCTCCTAAGCATGCACTGGCCACTGTGCCCGGCTCCTTCTTTTAATACGCTCCAGTTGCAAACTCTGACCTAAGGAATCAGTCTTGGCACAGTGGCACATGCTTGTAATCCCAGCCACTAGGGAAGCTGAGGCAGGAGGATTGTAAGTTCAAGGCCAGCTTCAGCAATTTAGCAAGACCCAGTCTCAAAATAAAAAAGAAGGGAGATGTAGCTCAGTGGTAAAGCACCCCTGGATTCAATCTCCAGTACCAAAAAAAAAAAAAAAGGTATAAATCTAATCTAAATCTCTTTGGAGATTTGCATCATCTCTTGGACTGTTTGTGGGATCTTTTTTCTTTCTCTTACTAGTAGCTGAGTCCTTCAAGGAAAGGCTCAGTCCCTCACCTCCTCCAGGAAGGCTTCTTTGATTTGTCCTCAAACGGCAGTTCTCCCTTCCTGACCAAGAGTACCTTTTCCTTTAATTAACCATTAAAAAACAAAAAACAAAAAACCCTATATTGTAATTTCAGGGAAATTTATCAGGCTTGAGGGCAGAATGAGGTCTTATTTCCTCCCCAAAGCACTAGCGTTTATAGAAAGGCCTACAGTTGGGGGCTAATTGCACTCTATCCCAGTCCTGCCCAGTCTTTCCTGAGCTCAAGGCAGAGGCTTGACAGGGTTTCTGAGTATTAGCTGAGCATGGAATCACCTGGGGGTGCAGAGACGCTGATACAGCAGGTGTGGGGTACAGCTTGGGCATCTGTATTTAAAAATTTTCCCTTATGGCTTTGAGGGTCACAGAGAAGCAGGATCTCAGGGGCAGGAGAAACCTGCCCTTCTTGTACCCAAGAAAGGGTACCTGCTGGGGCCCTCACAGCTCCAAGAGATTTCTTGGGGACTTGACTTTGACCCTCTGGGTCAGCACCCACTTGCCCGCCCCCTGGTCAGGAAAGGGAGGTGGAACTCTCCTCCTCTTTCCATTCAAAGAGCCAGACACCCCCTGCGCTGCAGGCTTCCCACCACACTCAGGCGACCTCTGAATTCTCTCCTGAGAAACAACATGGGGAGCAGGTCAGGGAAACCTGCAGTGCCACTATGACTGGCCCACTCCACCCCCTCAGCCCTGGGAAAGGCTCTGCAGCAAGGCCACCTCCCCTAACCGGCCAGTCCTCCAAGTCTATGGGGGTGGGGAGGGGGCTGGTGAATGACTAAGGCCGGAAATGGAGGTGAGTCACTCAGCTTCTGTTTTGTCCAGAGCTTTCTGCAAACAGGCCACAAAGACAGGCAGCCCATGTGCCAGATGCCCCCTGGCAGGTTTTCACATGGAGCGGGCTGCTACTCCAGGCCTTTGCCCCCAGCTCCCTTGGAGCCTGCTGAGTAGAGAAGAGGGGTAACATTCCAGGCTGCCCACCCAAGTGGCACTGGCCTCTGAATCACATGGTCCCCAAACCTCTCTAACTACACATTAGGTGTGTAGCCAAAGGAAAGGTCGAACAGAATGAGGTTCAACACAGGCTGGGCCTGGGGCTGAGTCCTGGGGCTGGGAGTCTTCTAAACCATGGGCAGTGAGGCTGTCCAGGAGCAAGGGCGGGGCCAGCAGACACAAGAGGCAAGGTCAGCAGGAGGGCCTGGCTCGCTCTCTACTTAGCCACCCAGGAAACATCTGTAGGTCCGTCCAGGCCCAAATTCACAGGTGTTGCCCCAACCTCATTCCTGCGGGCCCTGAACAGGTGCATAAGCCCCCCACCTCCTCTGTCTGTGGGTTTTTCTATCTGACCTGAGGCTAGGCCCAAGGCCACTCTTGACAGAGTGGGTGAAGGAATAATTATGAAATAATAGCACCAAAAATGAGGGTGAATAGCCAGAAAGTGGGGACAGCCCAACTGTCCATCCCAGATGAATGGATAAGCACAATGTGGCAATATGTACACAACATGTGTCGCTCAGCCTTAGGAAGTCTGAGCCTTAGGAAATCTGACACATGCTGCAATTCAGATGAACCCCCAAAACACAATGCCACATGAAAAAAGCCAGGCGCAAAATGATAAGCAGTGGGTGATTCCACGTATTTGAGGCTCTCAGAAGAGGCAAATTCAGACAGAAAGTAGAGGTTGCCAGGGGCTGGGGGAGGAAAGAAGGTGGGGGTTACTGCTTAATTATTACAAAGTTTCTGTTTGGGGCTGTATTAAAAGTCTTGGGAATAGGTAATAGTGGTGGTTGCACCTATTATAATTAATGCCTGTGAATTGGCCACATAAAAATGGTTAGAATGGTCAAGTTTATGTTATATCTATTTTATCAGTTTTTTTTTTTTTTAAGCTGGGGATTGACCCAGGGGTGCTTTACCACTAAGCTACATCTGCGGTCCTTTTTATTTTTATTTGTGGTACCAGGGATTGAATCCAGGAGCACTTAACTACTGAGCCACATCCCCAGCCCTTTTAATTTTTTGAGATAGGGTTTTGCTAAGTTGCTGAGGCTAGCTTCGAACTTGTGATCCTCTTGCCTGGGATTACAGGTGTGCACCACAATGCCCAGCACTTTACCCCTATTTTAAACATTTAATAATATACCAGAAACCACTGTATACTTTACTTGTGCGTGTGTGTGTGTGTGTGTGTATGTGTGTGGTTGGTTGTGTGTGGTGCTGGGGACTGAACCCAGGGCCTTATGCATGGGAGGCAAGCACTCTACCAACTGAGCTATATCCCCAGCCCCACTGCATACTTTAAATGGATGCATAATGTAGTATATGAATTAATCCTGGGGGGGGGGGACTGGGACTGAACCCGGGGTGCCCTACCCCTGAGCTTCATCTCCAGCCCTTTTAATTTTTTAAGATTTTGAGACAGGGTCTTGCAAAGTTTCTGTGGCTGGCCTCAAACTTTCCATCATCCCACCACAGTTTCCAGAGTCACTAGGATTATAGGTGTGTGTGACTGTGCCCAGCTCACCGTGGCTAAAGGTCCAATGAATGTTACCTATTACTGTTACTGCTATGTGTCAGGCATTGTCTCATCCATGATTTCAATGATGAAGACTGATTTAGTTTTTGCTGTAAGGTTTGGGATTTGTCTCTCCCCTGTCTCTTTCTCATTTTTTGTGTGTGGTGCCAAGGACTGAATTCTAGCACATGCTAGGCAAGCACTTGACCACTGAGCTACACTCAAGTCCATTTCGTTTTTATATTTTGGAAGGGTACTGGGGATTGCACTCAGTGGCACTCAACAACTGAGCCGCATCCCCAGCCTGTTTTTGTATTTTATTTAGAGACAAGGTCTCACTGAGTTGCTTAACGCCTTGACGTTGCTGAGGCTGGCTTTGAACTCATGTTCCTCCTGCCTCAGCATCCTGAGCTGGTAGGAATTCAGGAGTGTGCCATGCACCTGGCTCATTTTATTTTTTTATTTTGAGAAAGGATCTCACCAAGTTGCTGAGGCTGACTGTGAACTTGTGATCTTTCTGCCTCAGTCTCCCAAATCACTGGGATTATAGGTTTGCCCACTGCATTCAGCATGGATTAATATCTTAATAATAAAAGTTGCTAACCTGG